AAACTGGTAACTTAGAACATTGAGTAGTTGAGGGTTATAGCATACGTAGGCTGGCGCACAAGTACCTTGGGACCACGCAACTTAGAACATTTCAAGATACCTACATTAGTGAACAGGCATGCGCACATGATCTTGTGGTGTAAATATGTTAAGAGTAAAGGTATGTGCATGCAAATAGGTGTATATATACTTATATATATATATGCATTTTTGGCCTTCTTGGGAAACTGGTACCTTAGAACATTGAGTAGTTGAGGGTTATACCATACATAGGCTGGCGCACAAGTACTTTGGGAACACACAACTTAGAACATCTAAAGATATCTACATTAGTGAACAGGCATACCCAAATGATCTTGTTGTGTATATGTTTTAAGAGTAAAGGTATGTGCACGCAAATAAATATATATTTATAGATATATATATATATATTTACGCACGCTTGACTTTCTTGGGAAACTGGTAACTTAGAACATTGAATAGCTGAGAGTTATACCATACATAGGCTGGCGCGCAAGTACCTTGGGAACACGCAACTTAGAACATCCAAAGATATCTACATTAGTGAACAGGCATACCCAAATGATCTTGTTGTGTATATATCAAAAAATATAAATATGTTGATATATGTATATATATATATATGCTTGTTTGGCTTTCTTGGGAAGCTGGTAACTCAGAACATTGAGTAGTTGAGGGTTAAACCATACAGAGGCTTGCGCACAAGTCCCTTGGGACCACGCAACTTAGAACATCTCAAGATATCTACATTAGTGAACAGGCATGCCCAAATGATCTTGTTGTGTATATATGTTAAGGGTAAAGGTATGCGCGTGCAACTATTCATATATTTTTCACTATATATATATGCATGTTTGGCTTCCTTGGGAAACTGGTAGCTTAGAACATTGAGTAGTTGAGGGTTATCCCATACATAGGCTGGCGCACAAGACAGATATGTGTATATATATATACGTATTTTTCACTTGTTGTTGACATTTTGCTCTCAAGGCGCAAGCTCCTGCGTACGCATGTGATTCATCTCCGCTGACTCAGGCACATGCTCTGGCAACATCTTGTCAATGTCCAGTGTGCGCAGGATGTTCTTCAATTCATCAAACTTCCTCTGCGCCAATTCAAGTGCTGCTTTGGATTCTTCACCTCAGCCATGAAAGCACTCGCAGAAGCCAACTTAGAACATACACATATATAGAGTTGTCCCAATCTCTTGTATTTGTCTCCCTTGCTCTCTACATATGTGTGTATATATAAATATATAAAGAAGTGCATATTGTTGCATATCATATACTTGGGTGACACGAAAGTCGTCAAGTTGCCTTCATACTGCCACCTGCCCATGTCTCCGAAGGTGCAATAGCCACACTTGATCCAAGCCATGCGAATCACAGGATTGCACCTGGCAAAGCAAACTTTCAATGCCAAGCATCCCCTCATCATTTGCCAGTTTGGCGCGTTAGGAAGGTTATGATCTGGCCTTTGTCGCCCTTCGAGCCAGAACTCAGGCATATATACATAGTATATCTATATACTGTCTATGAACTATAGTATCTATGGTATGTTCTATTTGTTGATGGTATCATGCTTTGCCATGCCATGATATCATGATATGGTGATATAGTGATATATACAAGCTGCTATCCAATGCTGATTCGATGTTCTAAGTTTCAATGTTCCTTCGATGTTCTAAGTGTACGTAAAAAAAACGAACATTCCCAAACGATGTTCTAAGTTTCACCGCAACATTATATATATACACAGTATATATTTGGTCTATCCTATGACCAGTAACAGTGGCGCAGGGTTAGTAAAGGCCTTGTGAAAAGGCGTAATGTAGACTATATCATATCGAGCCCCAATGTGAAAGTTTGCGCGTCTCTTCCTCCGTGGCAAAAAGCATAAACACAAGCCAGTGCGAGTGCTCAGACTCAGCCCTTTTCGTTGAGTCCGATGCCTTTCAGCCCACCATCTGCTATAGGCAGTTATACTATAACATGTAATACCTTTTATGGTCCTTTATGCAACCAAACAAGCTGTAGCAATTCTGCAGTCCTTCCCTGTCATCATCCGAAAAGTTGTGCTCCAGAAGCTCTCGATCGACTTCATCAACCAAATGTCCGAAAATCTGCCTCGGAAAGAGCGATGCAAGTCTCGATTGTTCTTTTGTCCTTGTACGCAGTCGAGCCAAGGAGCGCAATGACACAGGCCAGAACTTGGTCTTGCACTTTCTCTGTCCCCTGCGTTGTGCGATCAACTGCTTCCAGGATGGAAAAATAATCGGACCTTGCAGAATTCAGTGAAGGAAGGACATTGAAGATTGACTCTGGACACTCTGAAAACCTCAGAACTAAAAACCAGTCAAACACGTTAAAGCTCAGCTGTGGACCACTGCAAGCGCTGTGGAACTCCCAACTTCAGGAAAAGATCCTGTACGTCTGCGTGCACCTCTGTGTACCTTTGACCGCTCCAGTTTGGAGGGAAAAGTGTGTGTGGTCCCCAGTAGTACTGGCCAAGAACACGCTTTCGACATCCAGCTCGCGCAAAATCGCTCGCAGCATCAGAAACACTCTTGCTGTAGGTGTCGACCAAACGGCATTCATCTCTGAATACAAGATCACACAAGCAATACAATCTACCCCTGCGTTGAATGCTTTCCCCCTTGGCGTCAAACGCATCACGATGTGCTGAGATCAAACGTGGATGATCTGGAACAAAAACCCAAGATTCTGAGCGGAGGAAGTCCATGGCTCGAGACGTTTCATCGTTTTCATCGAGGTCTTCTTTGAGGTCTTTGACTTTGGCGGCCAAGTGGCCATAGAAATACCTCCAATCTTGTACACTGCCCACAAAGGCAGGTTCGGCAGACTTTTGGACGCGCAAGATGTCAACAATGTTTTTGAAAGAAGGTGAACTCCGGAAGCCAAGAAACCCCCACGACGCCTGAAGCTTGCAAACTATGGGTGCGAAGGTAAAAGGTCTTTCCAGCAGTGATGCGTCAGACTGTGGAAGCCACGCGTCACAAATACTTACAAGACCACCGCTGGCAGACGGCAGCCAAGCTTCTTTTTTTAGAATTGACAATCGAGGGTCGTCGCAAAAGCGAGAGTAGAATTCGCCAAAGGGCACAAGATATGCAACCAATGCTTCGGCGTCACTTGCAGCACATTTCAAAAATAGTTTTAGTTCATCTATGGCAAAGGCAGGCCACAGTCCCATGGACATCCAAACGTCATGGCAAACATTGTGACTGTCTCTTTGGCTGTCTTCGTAGATCTGATCGACATCAATGTGAGTTGCGTAAGCTTCAGCAACCTGGTAGGCCGAACAAATGAAGGAGCTTGGTTACTCCACAACTTGCATGTATCACGTTCAGGCAAGGCACGAAGCACCAATCATGCGAGTAAACTCTCCTTAGATGTTGAAGAGTGACCTTGAGACAATTCCCAAACAGGTAACATGAGGTAACTAGCCAATTATCTGGTCACCAAACTCAAACTCATTGAGCGCTGAAACGAGACACTCCAAAGTTTCTGGCAGTGGATTCAAATGCACAGCTTGCTGGCAATTCCACCATATAACCTGCACTTCACCGGCGCAGCCACCACGTTGCACTCTGACTGCTACCTTACTTGCCAATCCAGAATGATTTGTCAACACCCGAAGGAGGTATAAACTTTAACGTTAAAGAGTCACCACGCAAGCGAACATGAACATGAATGAACACGGTTGTGGGGCGACAACACAAGCTTTGAACACTTTTGAGGGGATGAGAAAGTCACAACAAATGGGTGTATAATGGTGTATATCAAATCAGCCAAGCCGCCCACATCCCACTGCGGAGAGGCGGATTGGGGTCTTCTACAGAACCAGTAGCTTTCAGGAAACAGCAGGCTGCTTTGGTGCATTGAACAAGCTCAGAAACCTCTGGCTTTTTGGAACCTGTCAGAACAGGCAACAGTACCTCCTTGAAGAATTGTGCACCGTCCGCATGCTGCACACCAAGGCGCTGGAGGAATCCACTCACTCTCGGGTGCATCAAGGTGACAAATCTGGAGCTCAAAGTCTTGCTTTGGGGAATCAAACCTTTGAAGTTTCCACTAAAATAGATGCTTTCGGCATCCAGTGCGACAAGACTACCGTCCTCTGTTGGAACAAAAGGCATGCGCGCAAGTCGTCTCAGGTCAAAGGCTGAAACAGAAGCATCTGATGCGAGTATGAGGACCAACAAATTCAATCTTTCCATGTCACAAACTCCCAAGGGTCGCGTTGCCTGCTGGTGAAACTCATTTAAGCAAGCCAATGCCACACTGCTGTTCAAGCAAGGAATTCCTAAAGCATCGGCAAGATTCCATGGTAGCAGTTCCATCTCTATGTACCGACCAGCTGCGTTCAACAAAGGTTCCAAAAGGAGTAGATGTGACAAAGACCACTCGATGGGGACATCGGGGCGCGCATTGCATAAAGCTTCTGAAGGCCTCACCATTACCAATGCTTCGGGCCTTGGAGCAAGCAACAAGAATGTTTTTGATGCATTTAGTCCAAACCGTTCCATCTAAGCTCATGACGCATCATCTTGGACATCCAACTTTCGGGCAGGGGCTGCCCGGGCCAAAATGAAAGAGATGCCTTGCAGTTCCTGCCGCATCTGGCATTCAAAACATAGAGATATGAAAAAATAGTGTTAGAATTTTCCCCCCAACAGCAACAGTTTACTGTCAGGGGTTCTCAATTCTTTCTTAAAATGTGTCCGCCCATTCTGTCACTGCTGGTGTCCGTCCTTTCTGCTGGCCATGCAGCATTTCTGTGCATTTATGTGATTTTCTTATTTTTGTCTCCCAGGTTCGGTGCCTGGACAGCTGGTCTCCGCCCATTTCCGCTGGCCAAGCAGCATTTCTATCCATTTGTCTCCCATGTGATCCCATGTGATTTGTTTACTTTTGTTTCCCAGGTTCGGTGCCTGCACTGCTGGCGTCTGCCCTTTTCCGCTGGCCAGGCAGCATTTCTATTCATTTGTCTCCCATGTGATTTCTTGACTTTTGTCTCCCAGGTTCGGTGCCTGCGCTGCTGGTGTCCGCCCTTTTCCGCTGGCCATGCAGCATTTCTATTCTTTTGTCTCGCATGTGACTTCTTTACTTTTGTCTCCCAGGTTCGGCGCCTGCGCTGCTGGTGTCCGCCCTCTCCGGCCATGCAGCGTTTCGATTCATTTGTCTCCCATGTGATTTCCTTACTTTTGTCTGCCCTGCAATACTTTACACGTGTCTCCCAGCTCCGGGTTGCAATCCTTTACCTGTGTCTTCCAGCTATCCACTGCTTTGTCCGTCCGCCTCTGGCTTGCAATCCTTGCATGACATTTGTCTCCAAGCCCCGCGCTGCTGTGTCCGCCTCTGCCTTGCAATTTCTTTTTGCATTCGTGTCCCAGCTCTGAGTGTCCGCCTCTGCCTTGCAATCTTTAGTAGTATTAGTAGAGTAGTGGTGGTAGTAGTAGTAGTAGTAGTGGGAGGAGTAGTAGTAGTAGTAGTAGTAGTAGTAGTAGTAGTCGTAGCGGTGGTGGTAGTGGTGGTAGTGGTAGTAGTAGTAGTAGTAGTAGTAGTAGTAGTAGAACTAGTACTAGTACTAGTACTAGTACTAGTAGTACTAGTAGTAATAGTAATAGTAGTAGTAGTAGTAGTAGTAGTCGTAGTCGTCGTAGTCGTCGTCGTCGTCGTAGTAGTAGTAGTTAGTAGTCGTCGTGGTGGTAGTAGTAGTAGTCGTAGTAGTATAGTAGTAGTCGTAGCCGTAGTCGTATAGTGGTGGTAGTAGTAGTAATAGTAGCAGTAGCAGTAGCAGCAGAACAATAATAGAATCGATTTCTTTACCTTAGGGCTCCAAGTGTGCTTATTAATCCCACCCCTTAAACAATTGATATTATTCACTTCCCCTGTGCTTGTGTACTACCCCCTTGAAAATTGTTTGGAGCAATGAAATCGTTGAGTCTTGATAAGCGTTTTTGAAGCCGATTTCCAGGTCAGAATTCCATGAATCAAGCAAACCTCAGAAGAGTTAAGTGGGGATGTTAAAGGGGAAGCAATAGTAGAACAGTAGAAAAGTAAACAAAACCCACCCACACCCTGGGTGATCATTCCCTCCCACTAAACGATTCAGGGTGTTGGTGAAAACTTTATGTGATTCCCTCCCACTTGACCAACTAGGATCCGACATTAGCTAGAACAAGAACTTCGGCCCTCAGGCCTGTTTGCATCGGCGGTCACGCATTAGACTTCGGAGCTCTGCAACTTGGAGCTTTGGGGTTGTGGCGCACCACGTGTTTTACCCAGGCAATTAGGCTTCTTTGAAGCTTGGGGCGATCAGTTCCGTATGCATTATCTCGACTGTGCGTGTGTGTGCGCGTGCGTTGGAGGTGTTGTGAGTGAATGTCTGATGGCAGGTTGAGCGAGGGAATCATGACGTTGTGACTTGTGGAGACGATGATTGTCATTGATTGTCGCTGGGCCTTTGGCGTTGGCATTGTCCAGCGCTGAAAAGTCTTCAGCGCATCACCCCCTTGGCGCTCTGAATCTCGCCGGGGGAGCTCCAAGATATCCCTTTCCCTCTGACCAGCATTCTTGCGGATCCACGGCGGAGAGGGAAGGGGGAACTAGCCCTCACTGAGCCACTACAGTTCATATCGTGCATACTATGATATATGTATTATATATTTGCATGTATATTTATATATACCTCTATTTACAGTAAACGCATCATGTCACATATTTTTATCTCTGTGTATGTGTCTCCGCGATTGCGCTTGAATCTCCAGCTGCGAGGCGTTTTTGCTGTCTGAGGACTAGAAGCTGAACGCCCCACATCCGCAGACAATGCCTTAAAACTTAAAGCGCTAGCTTCAATTTCTTGATGTTGCCCATTGTTGTGAAACTTGTATTGCGCTTGTCCTGCAATCCTGTTTTTTTGCAAAAATTCTTGCCCCAATCTTTCGCTGAATGCTTTGAGCTCGTAGATAACTAACAGCTGTGCGAAATCCGACTGGACACGTTCCCAATCTCAGCAACACTAAGCTGTACAGTAGTAACATATTCCAATGTCCGATTTGGTCGAAGTCAGCTGTCAAGTGTGATATATGGACGAAAGATCTTTCTAATTCCCTCTCGCAAAACTGATCAGGGTGTTGGAACAATTTGGCGACAACTTTTGTTATTCCCTCCCACTTGACTAATTGGGATCCGACATTAGCTAGAATTCCGCGCGCATTATCCTTGGGATGATTGGAGTGCACATGATGACGATCTTCTTCTCAATCTCAAATGCAAGGAACGGTTACGTCCCAGCTGGCAGTATGTCGCTCGCAAGATGCAACGCCCACTTTCTGATACAAGCACGATGGGCTGATCTTTTGGAGATTCAACGTGCTATGGCTCCACACCCGACTCCGTCGACATGAAGCCCTACCTCTGAGCCTGCCTTTGTAATATTTTCCTCAATGTCCAGCATTCACTCTTCGGTGAAAACGAACGCTCCTGCCAGCACCTTACACGTACACCACTGTCAACTTTCCAACTATTAATCTGCATTGTTTGAAGCCTTCCTTCCCCGCAATACGACTGACCTTTGCCACCAAGAACCCCCAACGGATGCACACCATGGACATAATATGATTATTTCCATACCCTCACCTTTCACAGTCTTTTGGCCCGAACTACCGCCATTTACCCCCGATTTGTTTGCCACCTCTGGCCATCCCTCATCATGCCTGCCTACGTTGATGAACCACCTTCGACTCTCTGAACGCCATCGACACCTTCGAACGATCGTGAACATCAGTATCACTGGTTTCTACAGTCTGAACTTCCGTCTGTTTGCTGGAATGGGCGTCAGTGCCCTGCGCACACAGAATCTCTTGTTTCTCAAGTGGCTGCTTCGGACAGTGCGGATGTCCACGGTTGGCCTGTGCAATCAGACTACAAAAGTCGAGGAGAAACAGGCTTCTATCAAGGTCAACGCCAGCTTGGGAAAATGGATCTGTGCCTGCTCAGTGTCGATCACGGCTCCAAGCTTGCGAAGCATATTGTTTGACAATAAGAACGGGGTCTGAGATGGTACAACACATACCTTGACAAACCACTGAGCAAGCGGGATGAGATATGCAAAGGAGCAAGTGTCCGTGCTACTGTTCCCAAACCGAAACACTGTGTGGCAGTTGATTTTTTGGATTTGCTTCTGGATGTTTTCCGGCATTTCTTGCAACAAATGTTGGACTTGTGAGCTGCCGATGACGGTTTGGCTTGCTCAATGCCGCAAGGGCCATGACGCGCGAACAAAGCTTCCTGGTCTGCAGGCGGGGTGTGACGCCTGGCAGGTTCTATGGAAGCAGCTCTTTCTTCTTTGGGTGTCAGGGCGCTCTCATCAGTACGGCGCTGACACAACGAAAGCTTCAGGCTCCGTGTGAGCCTTGTAGATGGCGCTGGAGGGCGTTCATGGTCTTACCCCAAACACTATCCCGTTCCCCCACCCCAATAGAGGATTTCATAGTGTCAACACAGAAAACTGATTGACCATATGAACGAGGAGCGATGTTCTCAGTCATCTCAATTGTGCCGGTGAAGGCACGTTGGCGGGAGCCTTGTTACTCGGTTTCAAAGCGACGAGGGCATTCAGCCTTCCGGCCGCATCTGCGGCATTCGGATTCAAGGATCCGTTGAGCAAGTGGTGTTCTGTTCTTGCCCATGCCCTTGGAGTTGAAGCTGAACTTGCTCTTCACTTTTCCTTTGCCTCCAGAGCCGTTCACGGGCCAGAAACCACGATTCTTGTCCCGCTCGGTGATGCGCTTGCGCGCTTCCAGGTACGAGTGGAAACATTGCGCAGTCTCCGGATCACTCTGGAGCACCTCGACAAGGCTGTCCTCGACTGGCTGAATGACCAAAGCATCTTGTTCGTTCTCTTCAGAAAACAGGATTGCATCTTCCTCCCAGTGGTCTTGGAAGAAAGCGTCTTCGTCCCCAATTGAGGCTGGTTGTTCGTCCTTTTCCAGGATACGTTTTCTTTGGTCCTCGTTGAACACTTGCCGGACTGAAGCTCGGCAAGAAGCAAGGTCCTAACAACTTCAGCCACACCTTGTCATACTCGAGCTTGCCTTCGGAGTCCATGACGATTCTCTTCTTTTCGTCCAGGTGCAATCCAGAGTTGTGCAACAAACAATAGGCCCTCATTTCTTCAAGAGTCACATGCAATGATGCCAGTTCCTTAAATTGAAAGTCGTGTTGGGCCAGATATGATTTGTGCGTCTCATCAGATCGCTGGGCAGTGGTGTATATTGCTCTCTCAAAGCGTTCGAATTTCTCTTCGTGTTTGGCCTTTCCCCAAACTCCGCCCAGTGTGGATACCAACAGCTTGATGCCGTCGAGATTGCTCACCTTGAGTTTACGAGCATCCACCCGTAGAAACTTCTTGACAGGTGGGCAAACGAGATCACCTGCGGCCGTTGGTAGCTCCGCTACCAATGTGGAGTCGTCGGTCCCAAACCAAGTGACTGCGCTCCCTGGCGCTCTTTTCCATCTCCACCGTAGCTCAGGGCGTCCTCGCCCAGGTTCACCACATGGCGCCGCCAGGCGCACCTAACCAAAGCCCCCTGACTCTCGGGCCAAGGAGCCGCCAAGGAACACGATTGACGGTGCACCAAAGCGGCTTCGACTGGCAGAATTCACGGTATGCATCATTTCACATATTTTTATCTCTCTGTGTGTATGTGTCTCCGCGATTGCGGTTGAGTCTCCAGCTGCTTGTCTCCCTTTGTTACCCAGCATCGGTACCAGACTCCTAGCCTTTCTGCTGGAACACATGCGTTTGCCTTTCGCATTCCATTCACGTGTTTCCCGTGTTGATTTCAGGCGTTCAACACACTTGTCTCCCAAAATTCATGCTGGCGTTTCTCATGAGGTAATATTTGTCTCCCAACATGTGTAGTGGTTCCCGGTCCCCCACAACAATCCGATACATGTGTCTCCCAAGCTCCGGTTTTATCGTATTCATGTAGCCACAAAATGGGTGGTTGTTTGTACTTGTTGAATTCTTCAGCGGAAGGAAGAAAACAACATTGATATATTTGAAGATGGTTGAAGTTTGACGATATGCTTTTTGTAAGACCCTCCTCCAAGATAGCAGCAGGTATTGGAGCAAAGAAGTCAGCAGCATCTCCAGGCAAAGGGATCACATTGTAGAATTCTACAAGTTGATGCTTCAAGGCCATGTCGACTGGCTCAAGAGTGGAAGCTTTAAGCAGCAAAGTTTCAGTAGAGTCTGCAATGGAATGGCCTACCAAAGCAGCCTTCAATATAGCCTTGGCAGCAGCTGCAAATGAGGCTGGTATGGCATCTCGAATGGCTTGGTTGAACACATTGCTTTCAACGATAGACTCGCGAGAAGATGGGATGACCCAATCGGCCTGCAAAATAAAGCGAAAGCCGTAGGATCGCAATGGCAGCCAAGCAAAGGCTTTTTGAAGGTTTGGTCTGGAAGGCGCGCTGGAATCCAAACGAAATGCCAATATGAGGTCGGTGTGAACAATTTCACCGTCCTCACCCCTCGCAATCACGTCAAAAGAGTGCAGCGCCCACTGTTGCTTCACATCGAGCTTTGTGTCGCTTTGAGTCGATGTTTCTAACACGACGACGGAATTTTTGTCATCTCCATTTGGAATGACGCCCTTGGACATGCGCTTACGAAGGCCTGCTGACAAGTCACTAACTTCAATGACACGCAGGTTCCGCAGGAATAGCAGCAAAGTCGGCTCAAGATCTTCGACATGCGAACGAACCTCTGCCAATCTGCAAGATTCATAGAGTGGTAACACTAAACGCGTGCCGCCAGTGTCAGATCTCAAGCCAGAAGGCGGAAGCGGCGGAAGGGGAAATGGAACCAAGTACCCCAAGCCATCAAGAGCTGATGAATCAAAGTGAAAATGAAACTCACCAGAATGAATTACCGGTGTTCGTGTCACCCTGAATACTGACTTGAATCCAATCCCTTTGGCTCCAATGTAGTGTCTTGCTGTCTTGGTGGACTGGGCAATATCACATAGGGCACGTACATTTCGCTCCTCAAAGCCTGTTTCGTTGTACTCCAAGGCCAGCAAAGCGCGGCAAGATTCCGACAACGAAGTAATCTTGTGGAACTCTGTACTGTCGTCTTCAATGATTATTCGCAACTGGGGCATTTCACTACCAAATGTGCAATCATCGACGTTCTGGAGCAGCTCAAGCAGAAAATGGGTATCTGTGCCTGAGTGGACAAACTGTGCACTTTCAGCCAAAGCCCCAAAGCATCAGAACACGTTTTCTTCCCAAGGTTCTGTATAGATCTGCTGCTAAACGCTTGACAGCCCCTTTCACTGTCCTTGAGTGTGCCCGAATCGAAAGCATGCCAAATGACAGAATGAATGGCAGAATGTCTCAGCCTTGCTGTTCTCACCGAGGATCTGTTGAAGTGACTCGGTAGGCTCATCCAAATCACGCACTTTCCACGTGCGAGTGACGGGATCTACTTTTCCCAGATCTACTGCCTTCAACCTAGCGCTTTCAGTTCTTTTCGGAAACAGCTTAAAAGCTTGAACAAAGCGAAGTCCTGTTTGATTCCAAGATCAACGGCTTTAAGCTAGAAGGTCGTTCGAAGAAAAGCGATGCTTCAAAAAAGCAGCTTGCAAACAGTGACGGTTTGTACCTGACATCTCTGCACTTGTGCCTGGCAATATCTCTGCAAAGCATCTCGTTGGAAAGGTTGCGATTAACCTCCACAAAAAGTAGGCTGGCTCAGCTAGTAGCAAAACGCATTCTTGGCGAAAGCAAACACATAGCGAATACATGCGAGCCCTGGAAGTATCTTCAATCGCACAAACTTGACAATAACACCCAATTCCATGCCCTGCATATACAGTATGTGAGACAATCGTGAGACCTTTTCCAAGTGTCTGTGCATCCCACGCCTTTGCTGCAGCATGCCTTCCTTCAGGGGCAGCTTTTCGCTCAGAACTGTCACCCACAATTGTTGACTCCTGCGTGGCAGATCGAAGGAAAGAATCTCCACACGTCACTGCATGCCATGCATTGGGCTGGGTAATGTGAGGACCATCAGAAGCACGCATTCCGGGGAACTTCCCTGCCGGTTGACTGCTAAAGATTACTGGAGCCGCTGGGGCGACCAAACATCTACAGTCTCCTTCAATGGCAAAGTGTCATCCAGCTGTGTGATACCCGGCATGGCTCGCGCTGCTTCAATTGCCTAAGGTGTATCACAACTGCTTACCATTCCAAGCGAGCACGGTGTGATGCCGGCCGCATCAGTTTGAAGTCCCTGAATGCGCAGGACAGGAAGTCTGGGCGGAAGACCTGTGTATCTATACAATGCAAAATTGGAAATGGAAAAGCGACCACAACATTAGTTAGAAAAGCACGACACCAAAAAGGTGAGGCAAAGAGACAGAGAGCAGAGACAAAGGGAGGTCAACTGAGAGATGGGCTAAAATACAATTACTATATCATTGAAGCAACAAGGACAACAAGAACTCCAACACAATGTGATTCTCATGTCGTGAACAAATATAGGATGAGCTGCAGCAAAATGAGATGAAGTACGGCGAGTTCCGCTGAGGATGTTTATTAGACGAGGTCAAAGTAAGTCCGAGGTCCAAGTCTCCTATCACACTTACAACGGTAATCAGGCTAGAAACTGGGATGCATCAAGCTTCTTTCTCGGCCGACAAGCATCATACGGTTTGCAAATCTTTGCAGTCCCATCATGTCTCTTGTCTGAACACAACTTGCTCAAATATCAATGAACACACTAGTCACTAGTTATGATTGCAAATCTATAAGTACAGTGTTCTTTCATATAGGGACTCCACTCCGTTTCCAAGAAAACATACTTACAGAAAACGCTACATACAAATACAGGCAAGGAGAGCAATTGGTCTAAAAGGTAACGATCACACGATTAGTCCAGGTGGGTAAACGCTCTCTCATGGCCAGGAACTCTTGATGGAGACCTACTAACAGAAACCATCAGAAACCAATTCTAGAGGCAATGAATACCATATTTGACAGCTTTGAGCTGAACAATGTGCGGACGTGTGACATAGGCTCAACAACGTTGAGATATCAATATTGATGAACATGGAAAACACACACGATTGCACAATCCACCCCAACACATTTGATGCAACTGATGCCACTTTGCGCAGTCAACGCATAGCTGATTTCAAGCCAAGATCTAGTTTCAATTGAGCAGATCAACAGTTGGCGTCATTTACTCCAAAATGTTGCGTTGCGCTGGTGTGAGCCTGGGAAGAAGGGGACTACCCAAAAAAACCAGCCACTCCAAATGCCCGCCAACGCCCGCCCCCTTCCATAGATCACGTTCAACAACTGAATATGTTCCGCGCACAAAATGTGCGTTTCGCGGCTTTCACGGCACAGTGCGCTTTCGGAGAAAAGGATGGTTCCAGTGAGCTGCCAAAACCAACTTCAAGTGCTCCGTGGTGATTGCAGTGAGCTGTGCTTCGCAATCTGACCCCCAATGAGATTCTCCTTGCAACTTATCTAATGGCTGGACAGGCTCACCACAGGCTATCTTCTTCAGTGTGTTCTCTCCCGATGCCTGTGACTGCAACGTGCGTTCTCTAAACAAAAAAGGCAAAATTTATAGACTATTCATGAATATTCCTGAGCTTTCAGCGAGCTGGGTGTGTGGGTGGGTGTTTGTGTGTAACCCTTGGGACCAAAAGGGTGCCTTTCGGCTTGGTAGATGGAGTCCCTGTTTTGCATTTTTTAGCAGGGGGTGCAAAGCCTGATCAGTTCTGAGTGCCTGCTATGTTTTGACTGGGCCCCATTTTCTGCTAGAACAAGCTTTCCAGCCTTTGCATGGGTTCTCTCACTGCAGTCACACACACTTACTTAGAGTTTGCGACTATTGCGAACATTTGGAACTGTTGATTTTGGATTTCAGGAACGTGAACCCGACTTTGGTGTTTGCTGGGATGGCCTGGAGTGAGCCCGAAGTAGTGCCCTCCGTGGCCCCAGCCGACCTGGGGGTTGAAGTGGTTGCGTGTAAGCAACAGCAGGAGCGAGTAGCTGAACCATCCATGGCAAACGGCAAACGTTGATTAAGGCCTGAAGACTTACAGAAGGCGCCAGCACTACGATCGGCAAAGCAGATTTGATTTGGGGTTCAAGTGAGCTTGGCCGGGCCCCTAGTGTGCACACTGCGCGTCATCTGCACACTTAACGAGGCAAGGTGCCCTAGGTCTGCTTTAATGAAGTCTCGCTCTGTCCTGGTTGTTCCCTTTCATCTATCTGGTTCCCACTTTCATCTGCTTTCCCAAACTTTCTGCTTGCTTTTTCTTTTCTTTCCCACCTTCATGTTCGGCCGTTTCAGCCCTTTCCTGCGCGCGCACTCGTCTCGCCCTGCGTGCGTACGTGCGTGCGTGCGCGCATTTACACTGAAACTAGGTTGGAAGGTAGCGTACGGATGCGTAAGGTAGCCCCCGTTTTGACACAAGGAGCTCAGGCATCGTCGGTTGTTCCTGTTCCGCTCTTCATGCCCCCCACATACTTTTCATGTCTTTTTCATGTCTCTCTTTTGTGTCTTTTCATTTGCCGTTTTTGCGCTTACAATCCCGTTGCTACCGACTACTGAGGTTCACCCCACACTATGTTTAAAAATTGGTCATCCAAAATGACTGGTAAGACTTAAAGACCTACTCATATCGTTTTATTTGAACAGTGCAAAAAACTACTTTCTGTCATGACTGGCAAATTTGACTGGCTAGTTTGTCTGTGCAAAGAGTTTATCCATGTCATCTGTTTTATCTAAGACCCATTATAGATAGCCCTTAAACTAAATCAAACAAAGAGGATTTGTTTTCAGTGGTCGACCACACTCATTTTAGCTAACCGGTAGCAACGGAGATCGTTTAGATGTGTTTTTCGCGGTGTGACCCTGGAATCAGAGAGGGTGCCTTTTGGCTTGGTAGATGGAGTCCCTGTTTTGCATTTTTTAGCAGGGGGTGCAAAGTATAGTAGAGGCTGCACCCAACGAAGCTATCCACTTGTGCTGGAAGCAACGCCTGATCAGTTCTGAGTGCCTGCTATGTTTTGAATGGGCCCCATTTTCTGCTAGAACAAGCTTTCCAGCCTTTGCATGGGTTCTCTCACTGCAGTCACACACTTACTTAGAGTTTGCGACCGAGTTTGCGACTATTGCGAACATTTGGAACTGTTGATTTTGGATTTCAGGAACGTGAACCCGACTTTGGTGTTTGCTGGGATGGGTGCATTCAGGCTGTACATACGTAGTTTATCTTGAGCAGGTGATTTCCCATCTCGCTTATATACATAGGAGGTTACTTAATCAATTTCTTTTGGGTGCTAAGCAACGAAAACGCACCACCTTCCCGAGGCAAGAACCTGTAATCAACATTGTGCAACTACCACGGCCTAGGGATGCTTGATGCTAAGTGGTCCTAGGATTGACTGGTCCTAGGGCATCTCGCCATCTCAATACCATCCCGGTCCAATACAATTCTAGGTCCTGGATATGATAGATTCTTATGTTTCACATCAAGATATCATATTATGCAAATTGTATGAGGCAAGGGTCGTAGTCATAGTGCTGCTGCCAGGTCAGCCTTCCACGCAGATTCAATCAACCACTTAGAGACTTTCAACCTTCGAGAATCCTCGAGGTATATCATTGGTTATTAACGCAGCTTAGCTTCTCAGTCAATTCCAAAATTCCAAAATGATCTCCAAGCCATCGTGCTGCCAGTGTCAATTCTGGAGCTGTGTTGGCAACCTCGGAGATTCAGG